AAAAAAAAAAAAAAAAAAAAAAAGGAAATTACTTCACTCCATCCTCGAACGTTCACGATAATATTATCGATATATTGTTTTTAATTAATCATTTGTTACATAATTAATTTTACGTAAGAAAAAGAAAGATACGAATTGTTATTCTCACTTTGAAATCGATTGCCAATCATATCAATACGTTCGAGCATTTAACGCATTTAATATGTTCGGCCAGTTCATGGGCATATGAATTTTAATGCAACGTTGAAAACACGCCTTTTATGATGAGACAACAAAGAAGAATTGCTTCTCACGGCATTCGATGGAAAGAAAGGATCGTGCCTGATCCATGGTCACACCCTTCTTTTGTGGTATTCACTTCGAATATTACCTGCAATAATGAACTACCGTGATTTGTCGTGATTTATAAGTGAACTTTTTCATCCATAAAGCCGCAAAACCTGATTTCAAACACGGTCGTTGCTCGATCGAGATTTTACGCTTTTATCGATCGTCATCGAATATGTTTCATCGTAATTAGATGATATCTTGAATGGATGGAAAAGATTGTAATATACTTTTATTTCGTGAATAAACGAGAGAAGAAAGCATGGTACGTTTTGTATATTTTAATTTGGAAAGTATAATAAGATAACACGATGATGAATAAAAAAATAGGAGATTTGCAAGTTTTATGTATTTATATGTAATTTACATATATATATATATACTTTTCATTGTTAACGTTTTGCGAGGAAAATTTTTTTCTAGACTTTTTAATGGCCACGCTTTTGATTCATTTAAATCACTTTTAATATTCGCGAAAATAGTAGTCGAAGGAGATTATTAATAAATGGAGTAAAAAAGTGAGAAGTCTAGAAAGCGTGGAATTATTTTTCTTATACTGCATCTATGCAGCCTCCAGAACATTTGCTATAGTAGATATCATATTTATTGATTGTAATAACTGTTAAGAAATAAAATTCATCAGTTTTTTGTCATTGCTAGAATCGAGTTCTAAATCTGATTATTCCTTTTAGATCACATACATTTCTTTTACAATTTTATTGCCTTTAATTGACGTTTAATTGCTATTAAAATGGGGACAAGTATAATGTTTGAGTCATCTCGTAAACTACGACTAGAAGTCGTATATATCGTATATCTAGAAGAATCTGTGTGAGTTTCAAGAATAGGTCAAAATAGCACTGGTTGTATAATGATAAATAAAATAGGAAACTGGTTTCTTGAGAAGATATCGTTGCAATAATTTATACGAATAAATAATAATATTTAAACCTTAAGTTATCAAAGTTTAATTATTCTTGGAAACGGCGTGTGAATTAATGGAGCGCGACGAGATTCAATTATTCAACATCGCACATTCGATCGATGGCCGGAGATTTCAATGACTGATATCGATTAATCGTTTTAAAGACGCGTCTGCGCATTTGTGTTCGAGATATGCGCATGCGCTCTTCTCGCTCATTAATTGCCGGCAGACGCTTCTCAATAGTAAATACAATACAGTGAAAAGACGACATGGAGAATATATCAGTAGGAAGGAAAGGATAATTAATTCTCCATCGTGAAGAAAAGAGGCGAGTAAAGCGTGGTGAACGAAACGCACAGAAACGGTGCTCACCGGTGCTAGGAACTGCGTTCAAGGAGAACAGCAAACGAAGAATTACGTAATTCGGGTTACGTTCCTTTGATGTACAAATGATTTTAACGCGAAACAGGAAATCACCTTTTTTGCTTTTTTCCACTAGCAAATCTCGGCATCGTTCCGTTTCAAGGATTTACGGAAGATCGTTCAACTTGAATGTCCGACGAAATTGGAACATAGTTTGAATTTTTATTTCTTGAAAATTGAAGATATTAAAAGGTACATAAAAAAACTTTTAAAATTTATAAGAAAACAATTTAGATATTAATGATTATAATAATGATTAATAACGTATCGTATTTAGCATTCGTATATAAAGATTTATTATTAAATTAAGATCGTTATTATTCTAATTTTACACGCTCTTTAATCGTTTTAAATAGCCGCGCGCCATAATTTCTCGAGGTTGAACATTGAAAACGAGGTGATTATTATTAACACGTGATAAAAAGTACACGTGTTACGGTGTTAAAATGAGGACGACGTTCTCGGACCAATCGGAGCGAGCAAAAACTCTTGCGTGTATGAGGCAAGGACGACGATCATCGTTGATTTAAATGAAACTTGTAGAAAATTTCCATTTAGAATCCATTTAGGATTCATAATGG